TTAAGAACATTGTGTTGCTAATCCCTGGCTCACTGCAGAGTTTACAGATCCAGAATCACACTGCATTCTTTACTTTGTAGTCTTGCAATCTATTCAAGAGCGCTGATAACTTCTCTTTCCCCACGTTGAGTTAAAGCACCCAGGGAAACTGCCTACCACCCAAACCTGGAAGCCTGGTGTTTTTTTGTTTTTTTTGTTTTTTTTTTAGTTTCCTTCCTGAAGTGCAAAGCTGCACCCATGAAGAAGACTCTACCCTTAATTGGTGAGGATTTCTGTGCAAATTTCCCTTGCATTTCCCTTCCTTTCCCCCTCCATTCCCAACCACCCAGCAGGTGTCTAGAAAACCATATATAAGGGTTTGCTGGAGCCTTCCACATCAGCGTGAGGCCAGTCCCATGGAAGGGGAATGGTTCTTGAAAAAAGTGACATGACTTCAGAGGCACAGTTTGGTCTGAGAGCCTCAGGCTTAGCAGTAAGAAACTGGAAGATGGTGAGGAGCACAAAGATAAGGTGTTTGCCCCAGGGTAATGTCTGGAATTAGAAAAATGTAGAGACAGTATTTGTCTCCAGCAACTTTCCTGCCCACACCAGCTGTCTGTTCCAGTTTTTAAAGCACCTGAAATTTAGCCATCTTGCCAGAGGCTTTAACCATCTACTGAGACAATCTGCATTTCTCTTGCCAGATGTCCACTGGAAAATTGTTCTTCCACGTAACCCATTCTATGTATCCTCAAGAATGAAAGAGCTACCAAAACGAGGAAGTAAAACTTTGGAAGCTGAATCCTATCCCCAACTTGCAGTCAGTGTGTTACTTGGAAGTATAAGACCCGTGTCCTTTGTCACACTGCCCAGGACTCCACAGGACTTCTTTGGATAAATTTTTATATTCTCTCCTTGCATTCAATTCTCTCACACTATGAACTAGGTTTTATTATGTCCATTTTACAGATGGGAAAACTGAGGCTGAGATAGTAACTAGTGAGTAGGGAAGCTGAGATCAAGCCCCAAACAGTTTAAATCTGAAGTCAGACAGTCAGCACTTCAACCATTCCCCATAGTAGATCTTATGCACCAAGAAGGCAGGAACCATCATAGTAATCAGAAATAACCCCTTACTGTTTAACAGGGCAATCAAATCCATTCATTAATTTAATTTCCCCTTACATCTCTGTTAGTATCTTGTATAAAGTATACACAGAGTATCAGTCAAATTCACAAATATTAATAAAGTTCACCATATATAGTATCATATCTCCCTATACTACAGAAAAAAATCTAACCTCAAACTTCAGCTCTGGCTAAATCTCTCCATGCTTCCATTTCCTGAGCTAGGATTTACAAAGTTTGCCTCTCAGAATTTTTTGAAAATTAAATGAGAAAATGACTATATATAATAGCACCTAAGGGCAGTACATTCAAGATGGAGGCAGTGGCATCCTGTCCGCACTGGGGTGGCTCTCACGTTAGCGCTTAAGTTAAATGCAAGTATCATGCAGCACTACTGAAATCAGTCAGTGTTAGTTTTCCTCCCTAACTCTCAACCACCACTTCTTTATACATAGCCATTCCCTTTATAGAACCTACAATGTAAGTCTACCATTCTATGCAGACAGATTTCTGTCAGTCCAGAGAGAAAAAATGGCCAAGGCACACTTTACTTTTGGTTGCCTTTTCCTACTCACTGCCCACAACCTGAGGGTTCAGTGTAATTCCAGCCCCATGCTGACCCCAATACCTATCGTCAATAGGCTTAAATTCTCCCTGCGGGGAGGGGACATACATACTCTGACTTAATATCAGTTACAGTAACTAGATACTATTTAGTGAGTACCCACTTGATTACAGATGGTTTATATACACAATTCCCAATTCCTCCATTGCAGGGTTGTTAGAATCGTCTCTGTTTTACAGGTGATAAAATTTAAGACTCAGAGAGCTTAAGCAACTTGCCCAATATGACAGTCCTGAAGTGGAAAAAACAGGATTCAAATCCAGTCTTTTGGTCTCCAACCAACACTGTATCACAACGCCCAAACATCATGATTTATGTATAGAACCACCAAAGCCTGTCTACTTGACCTGAATTTCCTTATAGATGTTTCCAGCAGGGAAACGGTCCTGTTGCTGTGATAACTGGTTCTGGAATTCAACTTGTGTGTTCACTCCTTAAACAATAGGGTTTCATCAGCAGCGTTAGGGTCCAATTTGAACGTTCTTCCAGACAGAGACATAACAGTAACAGTTCAAATGCTTTTGATTTGCAGCACTTGCTTCCAAATGAACATGCTGCTTCTCTTCTTAAAAGACCTAAATGATCTGTTTCCTATGACAAAGTCTCGGACTCCCAGGCTCAATCCCTTTGCCTCAGCACACAAATGCATCTTTGAAAGTCCTGCAGTGGAGGAACTGGGGATTGTATATATAAACCATCTACTATCCTAGCTAGAAGACCGGGACTTCTATGCTGATTCTTACTGAAACATAGCATTCATGCAGCATTATCCAGTGTGTCTACACATGAGGGAAGAGTGGCAGTGGGGGTGGTTAAAGTATAAACCAAGGAATCCTGCCAGATTATATTTTGGTGCAAACGTAGTACATGCTTCTCGTATTCTTGCCCCGTAACTTTTCTTAAAAGTGAATCTGACAGAGGGTGTAAGTCAAGCTTGTTGTTACATTCCTATGAAGGCAAAAATAACTTACGTTTCTACAAATATTTTTGAGCCTTTTAATATACATTACAAATATTTTAGACCAATCACATTTTGTTGAGTGTAACATATTTACAAAACAAAAAGTATATTACAATAAATATGAATGAAACAGTGAATCTGATCAACAGCGAGCTCTGTCACAACCAGATGTTTAGAAGGGATGCAAAAACCTGCTGGTCAGCGTATGTTAAGAGTTTTGATAAATACGGGTCCAGAATTATAATGTATCTGGAAAAGAGATAAGGGACATCCCAAATTTAAGTTAGGTAAGATTCTTTCTCATTGCTAATTACGTAATGTTTAATGATCTTTTAAATTGTGAGCATTGATGAATTATGCAAACATGGTACAAAGCTAATATAGTTCTATCATCTCAAAATGTACGTGACAGTCACATAATATCCTTTTAATTATTATCATTATATACTGTAGTTCACACAATATCTACAAATGTGAATGAGAAAAAAAATCACAGCAACATGTCTCACATTCCAATTTTAAATAAGACAAGCACATACGGCATCAAACATTATTTTATAATATGTTAATAAATAACACCTAGTTTGTTATGGTTACTCTGAACAGTTTACAGCTGTATATTTAAAAAGAACATTTTCTGCGAGTTTCACATTGTCAGCAAAAGGTAAAATAAATAATGAAGCTTTATAACAAAAAGAATGAACAAGAAAGAAAACGAGGA